GAATATCGAGCTGATCACAGACCATAATCCATTATTATTTGTATAAGTCGGCACCGCATTCAACCAAATTACAGAGGTGGGCAATGGCACTTCAGCGCTATAATATTCATATTTCTCATTGCCCTGGTGCACAATTAAAAAATGCAGATGGTCTTTCAATACTATTGGGTGAATGAAATAGGTGTGAACTAAGTATGAACTAATATGTTTTAAAACTTTGCATTAGTTACTTTCTTTTGTTCCGGAATTGTACGAGAGCTACTTTCCATCTGTTTTGAAAATCAAATTACTGGTTTCCATTTAATATTGCATTATAATAGTGTGTTTTGAAATAGTATTGCATATATGTTTTATTACAGAACTCCGGTATTGTATCAAGCCATCTGTTCATCTGTTGTGAGATGAATGTTTATTGCATTTATTTCAAAGTATGTTATTACATCATGTATACATGTTCATATATTTTGAATTAATTTGGTATGTGGAGTATACAATTTAAGTTTGTATTTGCTGGTTCAGTTTTCAGATTCTGCTTCGCTTTGGCGTAGCACAATCTTACCGGGGGGGTGTCATGTATCTGGCAGCGGTGAGCCAATCAGCTGCCTGGCAGAGCCCAGCAAGTGAGAGAGACAACAGTGGCATATTAGCCTCAGAGGAGGCAGGTGGTAGATTAATTATGTTGTAGGAGCGAGGTAGTGCTCCGAGTTTGCCATTATTCTTTAAATGTTAATTTTTTTACCATTATTCTTTGAAAGTTAATTTTTAATAAATGTTGGTGTCGTTTTCCTTATGGTGCCTTATTCATCCGTAAGGTCATCACAATATTTATCTGATATGTATTACCCAAAAACTGTTACGTGGTACGTCGCTCGTTGACTCACTTTCGCTATTCTTATATTATTGTAAGATTGTGCATTTTTTGCTTTAAAAATTATTGAATTATGTTGTTCCTGTCTTCCGGTTTAAGTTTTTATGCCTTAGTTAACCGGCATGCAATAATTCTGGAATTATCTACAATTTAAATGTTTTTTAAGTGCGTCTAAGCCTAAATTTTGATTAGCATGGCAGCCATGTTTGTTTACATTTGAAACTTAGCACAATAGTGGAATTGTTGCCAATTTAGAGAAACTAAGCTTCGCCAAAGTAATGTTTTCGTTTATTATTGCGAATTAAAATATGCTTCATTTTTTCTGGAATTATTAACTCTGGAATCAAGTTATCAGCTTGTTTTTACGTAGAAACTGTAATTTTAATTGTAAAAATTGTTTCTTAATTGTTTTAACTGTACTTGGGTTTTATGTTTTTTTTTTTTCTTATCTTTCAATCTTTCAAATTTTAATGAAAAATAGTTTGAATTTTTATGTATTATTGCCTTGCCGCGAAGTGAGAACTCAATTAATTAATAACGCATGCGCATTCTCTTTGTATAGACTTTTAAATTATAATTAAAATTATAATTAAAAAGATGTTTAAATTATAATTAAAATTCCAATTTACATTTTAATAATATCAAGATTTCCCTTCGCATTGATTTGTGGAGAGAGCCATGGTTTGTCTTCATGTATTTTAATTATTCGCATGATTTTTTTTCTCTATAAATATCTTATACGATCATAAGTAATATATCTTCCTTAACATAAGTAGAATTCAGTAATTTATAACTACAAAGCACAGGTATTTAATGAATGCTGGTCTTTCTTCTGTTTCATTTGTGTGTGTCTGATAACCGAGAATATTTCCTTGACTTGTGTCGAATGGAAAAAGAGTGACAGCGCGCGAAAGCGCGCTTTTACTCTGCATCAGATAAAGGAATGTCTGGAACAAAGAATATTTCCAGATTTGAAGTAATACCATGAGTAAGGGCCCTATCACTTCTATGGACTCGCGCGCTTACCCGAGACAATTCCGAGAAATGAGATTCTAGTAGTACGGCTTTAAGCGGCAGTCTTCCGAGAAATGTTTCGTCTAGCGAGGAGGAACCTGTCCCGGCTACGAGCAACATTTTAAAATTTATCTGAAAATGTTCCGGCTGGAGACGTGTTCCTAGAACGTTCAACTAATCAGATGAAAGTTCTGCTTCTGAAGGATCACGGGTAACTTTCAATATGGCGATGGCTCTGACGGTGGAAATAGAGGCCGATTTAATTATTGCTGTTTTGTTGTAATACAACTGCCTGAGTCATTTTTTAAATGTGTATATATTCATTAAATATATAATCGTGGAAATTTCAGAGTTGACAGTATTTTACGACGTTCTTGCAGTTCGGATTTGTTTACAAATTGTTCGTCGCCAAAAGTTCGCCAAATTTGTCGTATTTCGTGCAGATCGTGTATTATTACTGTTATATAATAGAATTTTATTTTTTAAATTTAAGTTGAATAATTTTTTAAAATCCGTTTGTATATGCGCGGCTTTTCTCCTAATTACTTATCTTTTAAATTGTTAATTGCATAATCAGTGACACATTTTAAACAGCATAAAAGATGCATAAAAAAAGAAAAGCATAGCTTATGTAATAATGAGAATACTCATTAAATTTGTCTATTATTTTCATGTTATTAATGAAATACTTTTTGGATTATAAATACATTAGAAACTATACTTTTATTTTAAATGCTACATACGAAACATTGGAAATTTATGGATTTATTATTATGCATGATGAAAAACATTTCTATATACATTCATTAATATAAATCTTATTCATTACATTAATACTAATAAATATATATTAACAACTTCTAAACCATCGCATCTCTCTATCTGTATGTAAATATATGACTTATTAGATGTGTATATATATATATGTATGTATGAATACAAAAATGAAACATTGCCAAGAAGTTTATTTGAAGTTGCTTTTAATTCAGGTAACGATTATGTAATTGGCAGCAACTATAGTTATCAGTTCTTTGCAAATTATTATGGGTATGTAATAATCAGTTGAAAAATAAATGATGAGTATTTGAGTACTAAACAGTGTACACATTTTGTTATTGGGTTAATTCATAATTATATCATATGTATGATCTACGTAATAAAAACATGACTAATAAATAATAAGAAATGTAACAGCTGTGCATTTATAACATTTGATTACTTAAAACAGCGCACAGCTGATTATCACCTTCATGTCTGTTTACATAATGAATTGCACTTTCCAATTAAGTGCACGGGCCTACTAGTGACCGAAGCGTCGTTGAACACTGGTAGTTCTGTCTCAGGTTAGAATGCTGCGAACGGCTGGCTACATGACGTTTCCTTGGTTTGCCCCATTTGTAACTGGTATACGAGCCAGTTTTAAAAAATCTTCTACAAAGGGATCCCTCCTGTTGTTATCACTCGAGGCTTTGCGGTAATCACGTAAAACAAACTGAGCCCACCAGCGGCCGAGCGGTAAAGTCGCTGAACACTGGTAGTTCGGTCTGAGGTTCAAATCTCGCGAACGGGCTGGCTGCATGGGCGCTTTCGTGGTTTTCCCCATATGTAACGTGTATACGAGCCAGTTTCCCTTAGAAAGACCTCCACGAAGGCATCCCTTCCCTTAGGCAGATAGCCCTAGTGTGCTTTGCTGTAATCTCAATAAACCAAACCATGAAACAAACTCATGATGTGAACACCTAATTTCTAGAGTTGGTATAATTAATGTGTTTTAGGTATATTACCGAGTGTTCTATGGGACAGTAAATAACTCGCACATGTTTAATTGCTCATGTATTCATATGCTTTATTTGATCTTCATTTTGCTGAATAGTATCTGCTGGCTGTGAGGAGGTAAATATCAGCCATATAGATTTTTGTCATTCGATAAGCCGACTGGAACTCTTTCTGTAGGGAAGTGTGCGTGCCACGTAATGAAGATTCTGAAGAAGATTAGAGCACTAGCTTCATGGGTCATGAGCAAACGATCATTAGTGACGGATCTCTCAAGGACTTCGCCAGCGTTCTATTTCTGAAACTCTGAGAACACCCTCTCAGCAGAAGGAGGGGCTATTTATTTCTCAAGGCAGTTCAGTTCTAAGATTTTCAACAGACGACCTGGTACCCCGAGTGCGAGTTCCTTTAAATTTCTTTTAAATGGGTACATCCATGTAGTAGTTGTTTTAGTCTTACTAATTGATTTCCTCGTGGGTTTTGTACGCATGGGCTCTAATTGATGAAGCAATAATAGTAAAGAGCTTCAAGAAAATGGGTATATCTAATACTCTTGATGATTCTGAGAATAACTGAATATGAGTAAACACATTGAACAATGATGATAACGAAGACAATAGTGATGAGGGCGACAACTTACACTGGCTGTGGCAGACGACACGGACAGCAGATCCAGCAGCTTTGAATGATTTCAGGCCCAGGGAATAAGAGCAACAAGAGCAGACGATATTCAAAATACAGGAACGCAGAAATGAAGATATCATATTAGAGACTGTAATATTAATTTCACTATGTATTCTTATTGGAATGTAAGTTTCCATTAAATAAAAAATATTTGTGCCAGTTTTTAATATTACCATCAAAACGTTTCAATTCTAACTTAGGAAGACGGAAATTTCGCTTGGTTTCATTTACTACACTGGAAATTTCGCCCTTTCTTTCAGCTTTATCGCTAAATATATTAAATACAGATATCAAATCAATCTTACTTACTGCTTCATCTTTTAGAACAGTGTCCACTTCTTTCAAAGAAGTTGTGAAATATCGCCGTACTTGTGTTCTTTCCCGTTTTAAATTTTCCATGGTCCTCTCACGGACGCCAACATTTTAAAGGATTCGAAAATAACTATGGATTTAATATAAAAAAAAACACTTTAATTGCAGATATTTCCAAAAATTTTAGAAGCAGTTATTCTTAGAGAAACGATAGAACTTATTTTTAAAACATAAACTTAAAACAGAGTTGAGTTGTAGCTGGTCTTACTCAAACAACCTCCCACCTTGCAATTTGTAGGATACCTATAAATTGCAACAAAAGTTATAATTTGTATTATAATTATATAACAAAGTCTATTGGGAATTTTAACACGTCGACCAGCTCTAGTAACAAAATCTGAGACTTTGGGTGATGAATCATCATCTTCACTGGAATCTGAATCATTAGCTGCAGGGCGTAAAGGCATATTCGTAGAGGCACTTTCATCCCTTCGATTCAAACTGATTTGTAAAAATGCTTTTTTGATGTCTGACGTTACGCCAATTGCGTTTTTCCGAAACTGCATTATCAATTTGGGTACCAATTCTAATAAATTTGGCCCCTTTTCTAAACAATTATTCAAGGAATTTCCTTTGGAATCTTTCGTCGACGCATCAAAAACCGGACGAATTTTTGTTGTTGTTACACCAGTTTTTATCACAGGATGATGTGGTAAATAGTGTCCCTTTTTCTTGTCTTTATCTACAATTTCAATAATTCCATCCCGAACCCACTCATTAAACACATCATCGTATTCTCTTAAATGTCCAGATCGTATGAAATTTTTGGTAGTTGACATTAACCGTTTAGTGGCTAATTCCTTATTCGTTTCTAATTCTGGACGTCCACTTTTCCATGGCAAACATACTTCATATCTTTTGTCTTCGTTTCTTTTAATAGTTTTAAGGAAAAAATCTACCGTTTCTTCATCGGTTACCTGCTTTGACTTTACTTCTGCAGGACATCTTATACCGATGACATCTAGGCTACATAATTCCGTCAAATCCAAATTATTAGCATATACAATACTCTCCAAAGATTTTGAGTAGTTTCTTTGTTTACCTTGAAGCGTCCATCCAAGTTTTGTTTTAATAGCTACCAAATTATTATCAATGGGCTCAATTCTCCCAGTCAATAATGCGCCAAGATAATCAGCTCCTATTAATAAACCTATTTCAGGCACATATTCTCCTGTATCACTTAAGCGTATATTTTTCTTTTTCAAAATTGGATAAATATCAGGATCCTCTACACGTGGAATCGCACCACATATCTTCTTTTCGTCCAAAACTGAAATAGTGTACTTGAAATTTGAACACAAGCTTTGTAATGTAATATTGTAGACATTATGGGACTCTTGTTTAGTTTCACTGCCCCCAAAAAGTCCATGACTCATCATTTCTTGATCTACAAGTTTCAATCCTAGTTTCTCCGCAATATCTTTTCGTATGAAAGATCTCTGAGCACCAGTATCAAATAATCCACGAACGATTCCGGACTTGTCACCATTGATGATTTTCACCAATACAGTTAACAATAACGTTGGAGAATTTTTTGGTGACAAAAGAACCTGTGCATCCGATTCAGATACTTTTTGTCTTGTTTTGATTGATTTATATTTGGACACATAACGCTATGGTGTTTTTCTTGCATATAATACACTTTAAATAAGCTTTGCAGATCTTAGAATTGTGTCCTGGTTTCAAACAGACGAAACAAGCTCTCCTTTTCTTCAATGTTTCCCTTTTCGCGTCCAATGACATCTCGGCAGCCTTAAAACATTCTGAGGTATTATGAAACGACTTATTACAAAATAAACAATGTTTGTCATTTTTCTCAGCTCTTTGCTTTTCATTAGATACAATACAAGCTGCAGTAGGAATTTTTTCTTTCGTTTTAAATTTTTCAAATTGATCATTCGCAAACCCTGATCGAGCAAGTTTTAATCGCTCTTCACTTTCGACTTCCAAACGAAGAAATTCTAATAAATTTCCTAACATGTTCATCTTGTCTTTATTCTCTACACGGTTGTGTGTGCGTTCCCACTCCTTGATAAGAGCTTCTGGCAGAGCTGATTCTACTAAAGGATATAACATTGCTTCATATTTTTCAGACGTTACCCCGGAAGTCTCTAATGCTCGCAGCTGAGTCTCCAATTTATCGTAAAGAATCCGCAAAGTAAAATTTTCGCCACTTTTAGCTTGCGTTAAAACTAGATTTAAAAGTTCACGAACATAAATTTGAATTAATAGTTCATCTTTAGCAAAACGAGATTTCAGCTGTTCTATCTTTTCGCCAAATGGTGGAAAACTTGCAACTAAATCTCTAGCCGATAAACCATCTTCAGTTGCTTGTAAAAAATACTGAAATTTATCATCTGCATCAATGCTATCATCATCATGAATCTTTTTAAATTGTCCCCAGAATCCTAGCCAGTTTTTAAAATTACCATCAAAACGTTTCAATTCTAACTTAGGAAGACGGAAATTTCGCTTAGTTTCATTTACTACACTAGAAATTTCGTCCTTTCTTTCAGTGGTTGATAACATTAAATTAACTTTCGTTTCCATAGCAACCAACTGATTTCGATAGCTTTCCGTTAACTCCATATCATTAGAAAATTCATCTTCATTAAAATTTTCCATTTCTACCCATTTTACTTTAACTTTTTCATCTAACTGAAATAATTTGTCAGCTTTATCGCTAAATATATTAAATACAGATATCAAATCAATCTTACTTACTGCTTCATCTTTTAGAACAGTGTCCACTTCTTTCAAAGAAGTTGTGAAATATCGCCGTAATTGTGTTCTTTCCAGTTTTAAATTTTCCATGGTCCTGTCACGGACGCCAATATTTTAAAGGATTCGAAAATAACTATGGATTTAATATAAAAAAAAAAAAACCTTTAATTGCAGATATTTCCAAAAAATTTAGAAGCAGTTATTCTTAGAGAAACGATAGAACTTATTTTTAAAACATAAACTTAAAGCAGAGTTGAGTTGTAGCTGGTCTTACTCAAACAGAAGTTTTTTTTTAGTCCAAAGGGACTTGAGTCTCGAAGGACTATTGCTTTCGTTTTGGCATTTTGCGTCGGACGGATAAATGTCGGTTCACTTTTCAAACTGTTGCCATAAAATGTTAGAGTCCTGCATTATATTTGAAGAAATTAAATAATGAAAATCTGCGTAAATGTATGTATATTTCTCACATTGTCATAAAATAACGGTACATAGAGTCATCGAATTTTGAATAACGTAATCCTCCAACGAATATGAGCATGTGGAAGACCAAATTTGAAATTTGAAATTTGTTTTATGATCGATTTCCTATTTTTTAAAACTTTGACGAATTTTTGATTAACAAACTCAAGGATTTCAAAGCGAGCAATGGCAACGTTGTGCAGAAAAAAACATTTATATCTCCAGCGCGTGAGTCTCTGTATCGGAAATTCTAAAGATATGCTCGTTTTAAAACTATTTTGCGATATTGCTGTTGCACTGGATCTTATGGTTTAAGTGCGAAGAACATGATATTTAATAAAGAAAAGTAACACACAAAATGTTAAAAAACGCCCCTTTGGACGTAATTTAAAATCTGAAACATTTCAGATTTTTTTTTTTTTTTTTTTTTTTTTTTTTTTTTTTTTTGTCTGTTTGTTTGAATGGACAGAACAGTAATTATGAGCCATAAAGTTAGTCAGAAAATGCTTTCACCAGGTCACAAATTTTCCAGTGAGCCATCAAATTTTCATTGAAATGCAGACAACAGAAAATACACATGATAAATAGACTTATCCAGCACATGTTTTTAAACTATTCTTAGTGTATACAGAATTTGGCTATTACTGATGTAATTGATTGCTATAACCAGAAGTGTGTTTATCTGTTACATGAAGTGCCAGAGTGGAGATCAAAGTGATTAACTTGATAGCAATCATCTTTCTATTATCTTCCATTACTAACAATAAAGTTTAAAACGAAAAGCGTGTGAGCGATACAAAACAACACGAAGAAGCGAATGTCACTTGAAAGTAGAGCTGGAGCAAACCGCATGTATTCGTTACCGAGTAACGGGTACATCGGTTGACTCGAAGTACCGATTCGGTACTCACAAATCAATTTCGTTACTCGCATCCATTTCGTTACTCATACGATGCGAGTACGAATGATGCGGCCATCAGGAAAGATGAAAATAAATAAAAAAGTTAAATAAAAAAATCTGAAAGGTTTTAGATTTTAAATTATGTGCAAAGAGGCGTTTTTTTAACGTTTTGCGTGCTACCTTTGTTTATTAAATATCATGCATGTTCTACGTACTCAAACCATAAAATTCAGTTCAACAGCAATATCGCAAAATAATTTTAAAATGAACATATCTTTAGAATTTCCGATACACAGTCTCGTGCGCTGGAGATAAAAATATTTTTTTTTCGTACATTTTTGCTACTCTTCGCTTTGAAATCTTTAAGTTTGTTAATCAAAAATTCAGTGAAGTGTTACAAAATATGAAATCGGTAATAAAACAAATTGCAAATTCAAGTTAGGACTTATACATGCCCATATTCTATGGAAGATTACGTTATTCGAATTTCTATGGCTCTAGGTGCCGCTGTTTTATCACAATGCGAGAAAAATACTTACGTTCAGAGGTCAATGGTAGTCGACGCAAGGAGCGCCGTGACTCAGCCCCCTTTCTGTGAGTCGTCTATGAATGGTCCTTGCTATCACTGAAGCACTAGTTGCACGTACAATTGATGATAATGATGCATTTGGGGCTGTGAGTGCCGCTCTGACGATTGCTCGGTCTTCACGTTCTGTCATTTCTCTACGCCTACAGTTTCCTTCTTGACGCTGTATGCGGCCATGGTTCAACCATTCCTGCCAACATCATCTAATAGTGGCATCGTTTCTGCTCAAATGTCAAGCTATTAGTCGATAAGACCAACGGGCTTCTTTGAGGCCAACTACATGACCTCTCTCAAATTCTGACTTCTGCGCATATCGTTCGCGCACCTGTATGCGAAGCATAGTTACTGTCTACCAGAGTACACAGAATGAAATTCGTGAAGAATTTATCACTTGGAATCGTTATTTCTCCTCTTAAATATCCTACCAGTTGCACAGATCAGATGCGCTGTAACGACAACCATTCATTCATTGGCAGCCAAAATGTAAAATTTTGCTTTTTCCATCAAAACCTGTATGCATATCAATTTGTGTCCAATTTGCTTTATATCTTCTCAGTGCGTTGTGGTGCATCTTTTTTTTTTTTTTTTTTTTTTTTTGTCTAAGAGTGTACATGTTGTTAGATATTGTTTGGTTCAAAGTAAATGTTTGACCCTTGAATACCATAACGTGCCGCAATAGATTCCTCCATTCTCCTGTGATGTTTTATACCACGACGTTTTCACCTTGCGTTGTTTCTTCCACAACGTTTTCGTCCGCCATGTTTTCGGTGGACATCGGCTTATATATACCATCAAGTAAATTCATTCTTAAAAACTAAACATTTTGGCCCTATTTCAGTGTGCTATCACCTAAAAAAATCACTGGAGTTTGTTTTTCATCTTCTTAGGGCATTTCTTACAAAAACATAATTTTAAAGCAGCATTTCGATTGAAGTTAGACGAACTGCTACATGCCAAGTGAAAAATGTGCTTACAAATATATGTTAGCCAAACAAGTATGTTTATAAATAGCGAAATACAAATTTAACGTACTTTTTAATGCAGTAAAATACTTTAAAAGGCTAATTTCATTTATAAATCATGTTATTAGTTTTTTTACCTGTTTCAAAAGAAAAAAATCTTATAATTCTTTATCTGATTTGCTAAAGCAGCTTGATACAGTCAGACGTTCATTTTCATTAGAAGTAAATGTGTATGCAGAATGAAGGCTGGAAAACAATTGTCAGGAAAAATTTTGCTATTTCATGGACTTGAATTATATTTTTATATCTTATTTTCTTGACAGTTATCACTGTTATATGTAAACTAGTACTGTAGTTGCAGTTTTTTTTAAACTAAATTCAGTAGATTGCTATCTTTTTCAGTACGCTTATTTCTCGCTCATTAATTCAGAAACAAGTACTTTTTAGCAAAACATACTTTCCTTGATCCAGCGTTCATTGCTACTTCTGCTGCCATTATTTTTTGGTAACAGTACCTGATTGCTCCTTTCTTACCAAATGACTCTCAGCTCCACAGACGTACGGATAGAAGTTGAACATGGTTCGGCTCTTTGCAGTCCGTCATCCGCCAATGCATACCAGATATCAATCAAAGTGAGTTCATTCACTGATTGGAGAAATGCATATGCAACACGTCTGCACCACAGTAATGGAAACAGACCTTTATATACACTTTTGGAAAAAAAAAAAAAAAAAGACGCACCAAGAAGGAGTTATCCGAATGGGACGAAAATTGGTAGAAGTGTACAGAAAAACAAATGATTACAGTTTGAGAAAAATTGGATGATTTATTGAAGTGACAGAGCTTTACAAAGTGAGAAGTCAGTAATGCATTTGTCCACCTCTGGCCCTTATACAAGCAGTTATTTGGCTTGGCATCGATTGATAGAGGTTGCGGATGTCCTCCCGAGGAATATCTTGCGAAATTCTGTCCAGCTGGCGTGTTAGATCGTCAACATCCCGAGCTGGTTGGAGGGCCCTGCCCATAATGCTCCAAACATGCTCAGTAGGAGATCCAGCGGCCGTGCTTGACAAGGTAATGTTTGGCAAGCACTAAGGCAAGCAGTAGAAACGTGCAGTGTGGGGGCGGGCATAATCTTGCTGAAATGTAGGCGTGACATGAAGGGCAACACAACGGGCTTTGTCAACGTACCGCTGTGCTGTAAGGTTGCAACGGATGACAACCAAAGGGGTTCTACTATAAAATTGCACCCCAGACCAATATTCCTGGTTGTCGGCCTGTCAGCTGGAAGACAGGTTGGTATCACACCGCTGTCCGGGGCGTCTCTAGACTTGCCTTCGCTGGTCATCGGGACTCAGTTCAAAATGGGACTCATCACTGATGACTATTCTACTCCAGTCAGTGACATTCCAGTGCGAATGAGCCTTACACCACTGCAAACGGGCTTGACGTTATACAGAGGTCAATGGTAATCGACGCAAGGAGCGCCGTGACTCAGCCCCCTTTTTGTGAGCCGTCTATGAATGATCCTTGAGGTCACTGAAGCACTAGTTGCACGTACAGTTGATGATAATGATGCATCTGGGGCTGTGAGTGCCGCTCTGACGGTTGCTTGGTCTTCACGTTCTGTCGTTTGTCTAGGCCTACAGTTTCCTTCTTGACGCTGTGCGCGGCCAAGGTTCACCCATTCCTGCCAACATCATTTAATAGTGGCATCGCTCCTGCTCAAACGTCGAGCTATTCGTCGATAAGACCAACCGGCTTCTTTGACTCCCTACACGACCTCTCTCAAATTCTGACATCTGCGCATATCGTTGGCGCACCTGTACGCGAGGCATAGTTACTGTCTACCAGAGTACACGGAATGAAATTCGTGAAGAATTTATGACCTGGAATCGTAATTTCTCCTCTTAAATATCCTGCCAGTTGCGCAGATCAAATGCGCTGTAGCGACAACCGATCATTCATTGGCAGCCAAAATGTAAAATTTTG